GCTGGAAAGGAACACCTTTTAAAAAAAAAAGAAGTGATCAGATTCGGATGCCTAATGAATGTTATTTATGTTTGTATGCCAAAATGTTTCTGCAATGATAGCAGTTTTCCTTTGGACAGCTGATACTTCAAGCAAATCGCAAAAGAGAGTGGCTACTGGGAGGAAGTTCAGTGAGGCAAGTTAAGAATGACTTTGATGAGACCAGATTAAAGTAAGTCTGCAAATTTTATCAGCTGACTCATTTACCTTATCTAGAAAGCAACAGATCAAAGTCTTATCAAAGACTTGACTGCAAGCCCAAAATTTACTGCAGTGAAGAAACACTTTTATCAGAGGGTCACATTTTGCATGTGATGCTAAGCCCATGAGTGTTTACCTGTTCAGGTGGATACTAGTGATCTTGACATTTTGACCAAATGTCTTACGCCATACACAAAAAAAAATGTTAATTGCTACTAATTTGTTACTAGAACATTATTATATGGAAATTAGCTTTGGCATTGCAGAACCTATTGATGTACTTTCGCTAGGAAGGATTATGATTAATGCAAGTGCACTTTTGCAGAAGAGTAAAGAACAATGAGGTATCCCCAAATACTAAAGTATTTATCAGGATGTAAAATGAAGTGAGAGACAATGTCACTCAATCTCTAATATCATCTGTTAGTTGAGAAAATGGATCAGTTATTTATGGCAAGTCACTCCAAATATATTCTGATCTGTGGTACTACTTTTAGATAATCAGTTTTATTAACCTTAGTGCTGCTTTCCACTTTTGAGATATTATAGTGTGTTACCTTTGCTATCTACCTAGGGTGGTCAGCTGTGGAGTGTGGACTTGTCACAGGATTAAAGTGGAATCTGCTTTTATAACTCAGAATCTAGAGTTAGAAGACTTCCACTTACATAGTGCCTTTCAACACATCAGAAAATCCCAAACAGCTTTCAAACAATGTAGTACTTGGAAATGTAGTCTATGGAAAACATAGGTAATATGGCAGAGATTGTGCTGAAATGCTGCTCAAATAAATTTGCAAAATGCCATATAAGATCCGTTTCATAAATTTTGTTGTTTTTGGATAACAAATTTCTGCAAAATTTCATAGGTTTCATGCATTTCATTACTGGGCCTGACATGAACCACAGCTGGTATTATAAAATGACTTTTGCTGTTTGGTCATGGCTCATACAAACAAATGAATTAGGAAGAGTAGGCCATTTGATCTTTTGAAACTGCTCCACAGCACAGAGGATCTGACTGTGGCCACAACTCAACATTTTGGTTTACATGTGATAACCTCTCACTCCTTGTTACAGGAACCCATCTCCTCAGCTTTAAAAATATTCATCAATCCTGCCTTCACCCCTCAATTCTTAAACTGAGAAAAAATATCCTGACCAGGATCTTTATATTCAGCTAATATGCTGCATGGATAGAATTTATCCGGACTTCCAAACTACCTTCTCCAGTTGGCTATCCCTTGAAAAACACTTAAATAATACTATAACATCAGATGTTCACAATGCTACCCACAAGTTAGTGTGTAGAACATTTGGAACAAAATTGCTGTTGCATTTCACCAGATGAATGAGACAGTGACATTGGGTCAGAAGAATTCTCATCAGGATATTGGAAAAACTCTCAGCTTGGATGTAAAATAGGTAGTCACATTTTGGAATTCCGTATGTTGACACAGCAAGCTCTGGGTATGTTTTATATAAAAATATTACTTTAGTTAAAATTTTACTTCTAAGGCATTAAATGCTATTAACAGGAGAAGAAGTTAAGTTAGACAAAGTTGGGGAAATCATGTTCAAATTGGAGATCCTAATTTTTCTTTCAACAGCATAGTGGCTCAGTGGTTAGCACTGCTACCTCACAGTGCCTGGGGCCCAGATTTGATTCCACCCTCAGGTGACTGACTGTGTGGAGTTTGCACATTCTCCCGGTGTCTGCATGGGTTCCCTTTGGGTGCTCCGGTTTCCTCCCACAGTCCAAAGATGTGCAGGCCAGGTGGATTGGCCATGCTAAATTACCTGTAGTGTTCAGGGATGTGTAGATTAGGTGGGTTGTAGGGGAATGGGTCTTGGTGGGATGTTCTGAGAGTCGGTTTGGATTTGTTGGGCTGAGGGGCCTGTTTCCACGCTGCAGGGATTCTATGAATTCTAGGAGGATTGGGTGATTATGCTGATTGGTTCTGTTCCTGAGGATCACAAGGTTTGGATTATCATATTTGTTTGAGAAACAGTAGAACAATCTTTAGGGGTTGTGATACAGGAAGGTGGTTGATACGAAATTGGAAGTCCTTTTAGTCAACATGTGGACAAACTGCAAAACGTTCAGAGAAAACTTTGAGTTAGCTCATCAAAGCAGTGCCTCTGGGCACAATAGTTCAGAAAGAAATTGCTAAATGTAGAATTCTCAGACAGGTGAATAATGAGGTAGGCTGGCAAGGAGCTTTAAATTGAAGTGGTGCTAAGGTAAAGTAGTATAAATGAATAGTCAGTCACATTACACGAAACAAAATCTGCTCTTTTATAATAGCATAAAATTCTCTTAGCAACTATATACTGGTTTCACACACCATTATAACAATATTGCCCAAATGAAATATGTTGGAGCTGACAAGTCTCTAGATCTTGATGAACTTCATCCCAGGGAATTATAAGTGGTAGCTAATAACCATTAGTGTTAGCTATGCTAAATTCGCTAGATTTTGGAAAGCTTCCATCAAACTTGGGAGTTGCAAACAGACTACTCAAGAAGGGACACAGGCAAAAAACAAGAAACTGTAGGTCAGTTAGCTTGATGTCTGTTGTGAAGGGTGTTAGAATTGATCATTAAGGAAATTTTAGCTGGGCACGTAGAAAAAAAAATCACGGCAATTAGAAAAAGTCAGCAAAATTTCGTGAAAGGGAAATCATATTAACCAACTGGAGTTCTTTGAAGAGGAACATGCTCTCTGGATAAGGGGTGGGCCTGCAGATATACTCGACTTGAATTTCTAGAAGCCAATTGAGAAGATGCCACAAAATAGGTTTTGTGCAAAGTAGAAGCACATGGTGTAGCAGATAAAAGATCAGCATGGATAGAAAATTCGCTAGCATAAACAGTATGCTTATGGGCCTTTGATTGGCAAATATGATAAGCGTGGTCCTACATGGTAATGTTGTGCACTCATCTTTTTGCAATTTATATCAATAATTTAGATAGGGGAAGAGAAGGCATGCTGGCTAAATTTGCAGATGACACAACAATAGGTAGGAAAGTATGCTGTGAAGAGGACATAAGCAGGTTGTAGACGGATAGAGACAAGCTGTATGAGTGGACAAAAATCTGGCAGAAGGGAGTATAATGTGGAAAAATACAGAATTCTTCACTTTGGCAAGAATTTAAAAAAGCAGAGTACTATCTAAACAGAATGACCGTAGAAATCCAAGGTGCAGAGGGATCGAGGTATTCTAATGCAGGAGTCAGAAAAGGTTAGTATATAGGTACAGCAAGTGATTAAGCATTTCATTGGCTGCCTATCCTTTATCACATGAGGAACTGAACATAAAAATATGGACCTTACTGAACTGTGGAGGGGCCTAATTCATATTTCATAGATTTTTTTTCATGAAATCCCTACAGTGTGGAAACAGGCCCTTCGGCCCAACAAGTCCACATCGACCCACAGCATCCCACCAAGACCCATCCCCCTATAACCCACCTAATCTACATATCCCTGAACACTACAGGTAATTTACCATGGCCAATCCACCTAGCCTGCACGTCTTTGGACTGTGGGACGAAACCGGAGCACCCAAAGGGAACCCATGCAGACACTGGGAGAATGTGCAAACTCCACACAAAGACAGTCACCCGAGGGTGGAATCAAACCTGGGTCCCTGGCATTGTGAGGCAGTAGTGCTAACCACTGAGCCACCGTGCCGCCCTGTGTTTATAAGTACTTGGGAGTTCAAATTTGAAACCTGAAATACACCGCTTTAAAAAAAGGTTAGCAGGATGCTTAAAGTGCAAGTAACTACATTCTCTCTAATTTTTCCAGTCACAATTGCATCGGCATGCATGGACCACTGGAGCCGCTGTGCAGCTGAGGGGAAATACTGATTATTGGGGCACAGAATTTAAGTGTTATATATCTAATTAAAAAAAAAGACTTAGAATGGCAAGACAATGCTGAGCTTGGATTATTCAGCACTTTACATTTCATTGTCAGCTTAAGTCCATGCTTTGTTTGGCACTGGATAAAAAAACTTCCCATCCAAAACTATTTAGTCAAATTAAAAACCTAAACACAAGTGCAGAAGCATAAAATACCAGAACCACGTGGAACAGCATTCAGAGTCTTAAAAACACCTTCAGATTTTTTTTTCTTTATTCTTAGATGCAATGCAGGTATCACCAGCAAGGCCTGCAATTTTGGTACATCCCTAATTACCCTTGAATTCAGTGTTTGCTCAGACATATCAGAGCACAGTTAGGAGTTAACCACATTACTGGGAGTCTAGAGTTAGATGTAAATCATCCTGGCCAAGAACAGCAGATTTCCTTCCGTAAGACAACATCAATGAACCAAACAGGTGTTTCTTTTTTTTAAAATGGCAAAGAAGAATGGCTTTATGGTCACCATTATAAAGCCTACCTTTAAATTCTAGAATTATTAATTAAATTCCACCACCTGTCATGGTGGGATTTGAGCCAATGTCATGACAGCATTAGCCTGGGCCTCTGGATTACTAGAGCAGTGATATTATCATTATACCACCACCTGAAATTGAAAAATTGAAATATTAAGGTAAGGCTTACAATACGGATTTTGAATCTTCTTTTATGTTCTTTCTAACAGTACCCTAGCAACCACAAGAAGCACAGGCCTATCAAATAACTTTTACATGACAAAATTTCATATTTTGTGTTTTACAGTTACAAAAAGATTTTACAATTCTCAACTGATTTTTCAAACTGTGCAAAGAAAACGTTAACTAATACTTACTTAGAAAGAGAAACACCTCCTGCTTTCCCTATCATTTCTTCATGATGCAATACTGCTGTATTCCAAGGAACATCTAAGAACTTCAGAACATTCTTCATCCAAGTTTCGGGATGCAAAACAAGTTGTTCGTAGTGTACTGGTAAACATTTATTAAACCCAGTTTCCAAACATTGGTTATACATGGTCTCAATGGCACGGTTCCATTTGGTCAGACAGTCTCTGTAACTGCTGAGATCAAATCCTGCTATGGTAACTTTCCGAGTAATCATGGAATGTACTGAAGCACGTCCATCCCGTATCATTAGAATGAATTTGGCATTGGGAAAAATTTTGCTCAAGTAAGTCAATGATTTGAGAGCAAACGGATCTTTATTGCATAAGTACGTAGCAGGTTCCCCATGTTTAACAATAATTTCTAATAAAAAGGCTTGCATGGCCGAGTCCAGCACCTCATCAGTAACACCAGCTTCATCCAAGCGCTGTTTCTCTCGGCCAGATCTGCTCCACATTTGTTTCATTGCAAGGATTCTCGGAATAACTCGAGTTTCCTCCCCACAGCGAATTTCAGGATGGGCATCAAGCATTGCTCTCATGAGTGTGGTGCCACTTCTTGGTACTCCTCCAATAAATATTAATGGCATGTCTTTGTTGTAAACAAGTCTACCTGAACTATTTTTGAATCCAGACTTTGAAATGTAACTTAGTGATCTGCCACTATCTAGAACATTAGGATGCTGCTGAGTGTGCTCTTCTACTCTATGGTGGCATTCTATTGCATAACGACCAAGATAAAATACAGTTAGTGAGCTGATCACTAAACATGCTAATAATAAGTTCTGTTTCAATTTGCCTATCATTTTGAAATAGCACTAAGATAGTTATTGATCCAGATATCAAAATAGTCTTTTACAAATCTGCCTTTAAATCAATTCCATGGCACCAAAACAGGAAAACACATCTGAAAAAGAAAACAAAACGCCAATAAAAATCTGCATGAGATTACACATCAAAACAGACAATAATACAAAAATACTTAAGAAGTAAAAACACTTTTTGTAATACTTTCAGTCCTACATCAAGCAGCTGAAAACTTAAGGTAATAAGTGGAAAAACAAGCTACATGACGTCAAATTACTTCCCACTGCAAACCAAAAAAGTATTAGCTAACAATGAAGTAGAAATTTTAGCCTGTTTAAAACAATATTTTTTATGCATGCTACTAGACAAACATAAATCCAAAGATTCCAAGATAAAAAGGCTAAAATCAAAAACATGACAAAATATCTTAGGAATTAGTGACAAATTTGCTCACAATGTTCATAAACCAATCATGTTTAAGTCCTTGCAATTTAGGTAATCAAAAGGGTTACTCCATTGATCACCAATTTTAATCACAGAATTCTGACAGTACAAAATGTAAGCTGTTTGGCCCATCATGTCTGCACTGGTCCTCTGAATGAGCATAATGACTGTCAATTCTCCTACCTTTTTCCAATAACCCCGAATATTATTTCTATTTGAATAATCACCCAATGCTCTCTTGAATGCCTCAGCTGACCTGGCCCCATCATACTTGCAGGCACTGCATTCCACAGCCTAACTGCTCACTCTGTAAAAAGATTTTTCTCATACTGTATCTGCTCATTATGAAAATTACCTTATATCTTTGCCCAATTATTCTCAAACTTCTTACAAGGGGGAACAATTCTCCTCAACAAGTCTGTCCAGGTCTCTCATGACTTTCAAAACTTCTGTCAAATTCCTCAGTCTTCTCCTCCCCAAGGAAAGCAGTCCCAGCTTCTCCAATCTATCATCGCTATGGAAGTATCTCATCCCTGGAGCCACTCCTGCAACCCTCTTCTGCACACTCAAGTGAATTCACATCTTCTGTACCAGCCAAGGTCAAACTAGTGCCTTATTCAACTAACGTCTTTGCTCATGTATTCTATGACTATTAATAAAGCCTAAGATACTGTACGCTTTATTAACTACTGGCTTTACATGTCCTACCACTTAATTACTTATGCACATAAGTCATATCTCCCTGCTCCTGCACATGCTTCATTTTATACTGCATATCTATGTTCCTTCTACCAACGTGTATCATCTCACATCGAACTTCATCTACCACATATCTGCCCAACCCTTGAGCAGAATAAACGTCCTTTTGCAGCTTTACACCATCTTCCTCCTACGTTAGAATACTTCCAAGTTTAGACATACCTGGAAAAGCTGCATTCATACCAACATATTAAATTAGGCGTAGGCTAGTTGGCCCATCTAGCCTGCTCAACCTATCAACGAGAGTTTGGCTGCTCCGATTGTGGCCTCAACTGTACATTTCAACCTTCCTCAAATAACTTTAGAGTCCCTTGGTAGTGAACAATCCATTTACTTCCATCTCAAAAATATTCAATGACTGCCTCCACTGCTCTCTGGGGAAGAGTATTTCAAAGATTCACAACCTTCTGTGAGAGAGAGAAAAAAATATCAGTCTTAAATGGGAGACCTCTTTTTTTTTTTTTAAAACTATGTCACTCAAGTCTAGTTTCTCCATTTGAGAAAGACATCCTTTCAGCATCCACCTGTCAAGTCCTCGCAGGAGCTTGTAGTCTCAATAAGATCACATCATTATTTCAACCTCCAATAGCTAGAGGTCCAGCTTGCCCAATCTTTCCTCATGCCTCAATAATTCCATTCCAGATCTCAGCTGAGTGAACTTTTGTTTTTACTTCATTTGTGGGATGTAACATCACTGGCTGGCCAGCATTTATTGCCTGTCCCTAGATGCCCTTGAGAAGGCGGTGGTGAGCTGCCTTCCTGAACTGCTGCAGTCCACCTGCTATAGATTGACCCACAATGCCATTAGGAAGAGAATTCCAGGATGTTGACCCAGCGACAGTGAAGGAACAGTGATATAGCTTCACGTCAGGATGGTGAGTGGTTTGGAGGTGGGGGCGTTTCCATGTATCTGCTTGCCCTTGTCCTTCCAGATGGAAGTTGTGGGTTTGGAAGGTGCTGTCTAAGGATCTTAAGTGAATTTCTGCAGTGCATCTTACAATACACACTGCTGCTACTAATTGGTAGAGGAGGGATGTACTGCCAATCAAATGGACTGCTTTGGTGTCAAGCCTCAAGTGCTGCTGGAGTTGCATCCATCCTGGCATGTGGAGAGTATTCCATCACACTTCTGATTTGTGCCTTGTAGATGGTGGACAGGCTTTAGGGAGTCAGGAGGTGAGTTACTCGGTGCAGTATTCCTAGCCTCTGACCTGCTATTGTAGCCACTGTGTTTATGTGGTGAGTCCAGTTGAGTCTCTGGTCAATGGTAACCCTTAGGATGTTGACTGTGGGAATTCAGTAAGTTTACACGATTGAATATGAACAGGCTCTTTTTGGTGATGGTAATAGCCTGGCATCTGTGTGGCACAAATGTTACTTGCCACTTGTCAGCCTAAGCCTGGATATTGTCCAGATCTTGTTGCATTTGAACATGGATTCCTTCAACGTCTGAGGAGTTGCAAATGGTGAACACTGCACAGAGAACATCCCACTTTCTGACCTTACGATGGAGGGAAGGTCATTGATGAAGCAGCTGAAGATGGTTGGGCCTAGGACACTACCTTAGGGAACTCCTCCAGCTGAGATGACGGATCTCCAACACCATAACCATCTTCCTAAGTGACATATAGGACTCCAAGCAGTGGAGAGTTTATTCCCCCCAACACCCCCAATACCCATCAATTCTAGTTTTGCTCGAGTTCCTCGATGCCACCAACGGTTGAATGCAGCCTTGATGTCAAGATCTGGCTCTCTCACTTCATCTCTGGAATTGAGCTCTTCTGTCCAAGTTTCAACTACGGTTGTAATGAGGTCAGGAGCTGAGTGGCCCTGGCAGAACCCAAACTGGGCATCACTGAGCAGGTTATTGCTGACAAGGTGCTATTTGTTCCATCACTTCACTGATTATCAAGAGTAGACTGATGGGGCAGTAACTGGCTGGGTTGGATTTGACCTGCTTTTTACGTATAGGATGTAGCTGGGAAATTTTTCCCATTGGTCAGGTAGCCATCAGTGTCATAACAGTACTGAAACAGCTTGGCTAGGGGAGCAGCAAGTTCTGCAGCACATGTCTTCAGTACTATTAACAGACCGTTGTCACAGGATATAGCCTTTGCAGTATCCAGTATCTCCAACCGTTTCTTGATATCACATGGAGTGAATCAAAATGGCTGAAGACTGGTAATGTGATGCTGGAACCACTGGAGGAGGCGGAGATGAATAACCCATTTGGCACTTCTGGCTGAAGATGGCTGTGAATGCTTCAGACTCATCTTTGTACTGATGTGCTAGGCTCTTCCATAATTGAGGATGGGGACACTTGTGGGTTTTCCTCCTCCAGTGAGTTGTTTAATTGTCCACCACCATTTATGACTAGATTTGGCAGAATTACAGAGCTCAGATCTGATCCATTGGTTGTGGGATCGCTTGTGGGATCCATTCATCACTCGCTACTTGGCATGCTAGTCCTGTTTGGTGGCTTCACCAGATTGACACCTCCTCTTCAGGTATGCCTGGTACAGCTCCTGCATGCCCTCCTGCATACTCTATTGAACCAAGGTTGATCTCCTGGCTTGACACTAATGGTCAAGTGGGGAATATGCTGGGCCATGAGGTTACAGATTGCACTGGAGTACAATTCTGCTGCTGTTGATGGTACACAGTGCCTCATGGATGCCCAGTCTGGAGTTGCTAGATCTGTGTGAAGTCTATCCCATTTAGCACAGTGATACTGCTGAACAACATGATGGAGGTTATTCTCAATGTGAAGGCAGGATTTCTTCTCCAGGAGGACTGTGCAGTACTCACTCTTACTGATACTGTCATGGACAGATGCATCTGCTGCCAGCAGATTGGTAAGGATGTGGTTAAGTATGTTTCTCCTTCTTGGTGGTTCCCTCACCACCTGCTGCAGACCCAGTCTAGCAGCTTTGCACTTTAGGACCCAACCAGCTCGATCAGTAGAACTGCTGCAAGCTACTCTTGTAGTGGACACTGGAAATCCCCCAACCGGAGTACATTTTGTGCCCTTGCCATCCTCACTGCTTCTGCCAAGTGTTGTTCAACATGGAGGAGTACTGATTCATTAACTGAAGGGCAGTTTCCTTGCCCATGCTTAACCTGAAGCCGTGAGACTTCGTGGCATACAGATTCACTGTTGAGGACTCCCAGGGCAACTCTGTCCCGACAGAATACCACTTGCTACCACCTTTGCTGGGTCTGTCCTTCTGGTGGGTCAAGACATATCCAAGATGTGTGTCCAAGACATATCCAAGATGTGTGTCCAAGACAGCAGTATCTGGGACATTGTCTGTAAGGTATGATTCCATTAGCATGATTATGTCAGACCGTTACTTGACTAGTCAATAAGACAGCTCAAGCAATTTGGCACTAGCCACTAGATGTTAGTCAGGAAGACTCTGCAGTATCAACAGGCCTGTTTCTGCTGTTTGTCTTTTCCAGTGCCAAGTTCGACGCCAGGTGATACATCAGCTTTTATTTCTGAGACTTGATAGTGACTGATGCAACTGAATATTTTGCTGGGTTGTTTCAGATGGCAATTGAGAGTCAACCACAATGCTGTGTGTCTGAAATTACCTGTACACCAGACCAAGTGAGGACTGCAGATTTCTTTCCCTGCAGCACATTATTGAACTTCTCTTAACTGTTTTTAATGCACATTTTTTTTTCTTAAAAAAGACCAAAACTGTACACAATATTCCAGATGTGGTCTCATCAGGGGAGGCGATGGCCTTGTGGTATTATCGCTGGACTGTTAATCCAGAGACCAGATAATGTTCTGGGGACCGGGGTTCGAATCCCACCACGGCAGATGGTAGAATTTGATTTCAGTAAATATCTGGAATTAAGAGTCTAATGATGACCCATTGCCAATTGTTGGAAAAACCCATCTGGCTCACTAATGTCCTTTAGGAAGGAAACTGCCATCCTTACCAGGTCTTACGGCTTACATGCGACTCCAGACCCCCAGCAATATGGTTGACTCTTAACTGCCCTCTGGGCAATTAGGGATGGGCAATAAATGCTGGCCTAGCCAGAGATGCCCTCACCCCGTGAATGAATAAAGAAAAAAACACAAATGTACAACTTTAGCTAACACACCTCTCCTATTTTGTACCAATCCCCTTATAATAAATGGTAACATTCCATCTGCCTTTCCTGACAATTTGCAAATGCAGCAAGTAAACGTTGAGATTCATGTACAAGGACCCCCCAGATCCCCCTGTACCTCAGTTCTTTCATCTGATTTCATTTAAATAATACACTATTTTTGTACTTTTCCTGTCAAAAGTGGTCAAGCTCATTCACATCTGTCAAATTTTTGCAATTAACCTAATTCATCTACACGCTTTTGCAGACTCCTTATTTCCTTGTCAACATATTTTCCTAATTATCTTTGTGTCATCGGCAAATTTAGCAGGTTCAGTCCCTTCGTTCAAGACATCAATATAAATCGTACAACGCTGAAGCTCCAGCGCTGATTCTGTGGCAACTCCACTAGTTTTTTTTGCTTGCCAACCTGAAAATGACCCATTTATGCCTACTATTCATATTAACTAAAATAGTACTTATATTATTCAGAATGGGTGTTCTCAAAGCAGAAAATGAATGCAGGCATTAACAATGGCTGTAATCCTTCTGCATATGCACAGTTGCACCTGTGATATGACATTACACCATTCATCAGAAAGAAAAAGGACTCCTGTAAAGAACTTTTTGTTAGAAGGACATTTTCAGGAACTTTCTCAAGGCATTTAGATTACCTGTATTATTGCTCTACACATATCTAAGTTTTAAATTCTCAACATTTTTTTCTCATTTATTTCGTAGAATGAGGAGAGTGAAGTTGGTTAGATGCTGCAAATGCCACCATTAAGCTGTGGAATCGATATGGAGACATAACATAAATATTACATTTATATTAATTGATCATAATAAAAGCTGGTCATTCACCTCATCCTTGAAACCAGTGGTCGTAACAGTGTGCTAGTGAAGTTCCTAGAGTCACAAGTGTTCTTCAGCACAGAAGCAGATCCTTCGATCCAACTTGTCTGCGCCAACCATATGTCCTAGGGTGATCTAGTCCTATTTGCCAGAATTTGGCCCCTATGCGCATCTAAATCCTTCCTATTTTTGTACCCATCCAGATGCCTTATAAATATTATAACTGTACCACCTCCACCACTTCCTCTGGCAGCTTGTTCTATACACCTGTGTTAAAAAGTTGCCCCTTCAGGTCCCTTATAAATCTTTCTCCTCTCAAATTAAACCAAGGTCTGGTTTTGGACTCTGCTCTAGTTTTGATCCCTACACTGGGATAAAAATCTTGGCTATTCACCCTATCATGCCCCTCATGATTTTATAAACCTCTATAAAGGAAGAGGTCATATAATCACAATTAATTAGATATCATTAGTGACCAGAACAACCACTCTTATGCAGTTAATCTCATTGTAAAAATCCGCAAAGAAATTAAACATTATTGAAATAAGATAAAACTAGATTCTGAAAATGAAGTGCAATAGTGTTGGTACTTAACGAGTATTTTGGCCCTGAAAAAACTATTTTTTGTGAAATGTCAACTTTACATATAATGATAATAGACTTTCAATACATTTTTAAAAATGATATTTCTATCTCAATTTGTGTCATGCTCCAAATTTTATCATGCACTTTGTAAAATTATTTAAAAGCTGAAGGATAATCAGTTCATTGATATATTCTGAGAGCAATAAAGTTCAATGTGACAAGTTGTTTACCTTCTTTGATGACATCTCCATTGTTGGATATCTCAGAATCCCTTATGTTCATTCTAGATGTAAATCTACGTCAGGAAAGGCAAAATCCATGCAACTGTTCACAAAATCTAAGTACTCAAAGGGACTAACAATATAAAAAGTTTGTTGCATGCAGATTTTGACATCGTTAGTCATTCATGAGTTTTCTATTACCTGTCTACTGCACTCTTTGCTCAGGTCTAACAGTCATCAAACCAAGGAATAAGGATAGTGCTATTGTTGTCTGGCAAACTGACCTCTATCTTGCTGAAGTTGCATGTCAACTTTCTAACAGTTCCTCTTACCCATCCTCACTGATCCTCAAGCCAAAGATTCCAGAACAGTCACTGACCTCATCATCTCTGGGGGCTTCCCTCCACAGGTTCCCACCTCAGATTCAGAACCTCGTACAGTTCACTTCTATCTCCTTCCTAAAGTCCATTCATAGGCTGACCTGGTAGATGCTTTGCTTCAGCCCCACCAAACTGATTTCTTCCTACCTCAAGTCTTTTCTCCATTTGTCTTTTCTCTTCATACTTAAATCCGTGTCTCTTAAAATAACGAGGGGGGTGCATCAGCAATGTTTACAATTTCCTTGTCCATCTGTTCACCACAAATCCCCAAACCATCTATACCTCCATCATCCACTAGGAGGATCTGAAAGCTCTGTTTCTCTCTTTAACAGAGGCCCAACTCGGCTCTATCCTCCAATACACCATTCAAACTTCAAAATTTGTCTTTCGATACAATTCACCTCAACTAAAAAGAGTTGCTAGAGGTATCCACACAAATCTTACTTTACAAAAAGGCAGGTATAGCTGTCAAACATGGCTCATTTCAGTTCTAGAGATAGTAGGAACTGCAGATGCTGGAGAATCCGTGACAACAAGGTGTACAGCTGGATGAACACAGCAGGCCAAGCAGCAGAGGTGCAGGAAAGCTGGCGTTTCGGGGAAGGGTCTAGGCCCGAAACGTCAGCTTTCCTGCACCCCTGATGCTGCTTGGCCTGATGTGTTCATCCAGCTCTACACCTTGTTATCTCATTTCAGTTCTAATTGGACCTTATCCCTCAATCTTTTTTCCAATACATCATTGTATTGGTATCACATTTCATCCTGAGTTGGGAAATTTTTTTTCATATTTTTAAGCTTTCTCTCAGTCTTACATATGGTTCATCACTAACTTTTTCCTGACTGTCTCTCATTTTTGGCAAAAGGTGATCAACTAATTAATTTAAAAAAGTGCAGTGACTCCTGTATCTACCCTGATTTTACGTCCTCATACTCTATACCATATAAAGATGACATTCTATTCTCCCTGTTCCTCAGTCTCCTTTATATCTGTTGTGATTATCCATCCTTCTACAAAACTGCTTCTGAGATGTGTTCAATTCCTCCACCACAGCCCCCCTTTGTTTCCACCACACTGCCTACACTTCTGTTCTCACCCTTTCCGTCCCATTCCATAACCATCACAGTTCCCCTTGCTCTCATCTTCATCCTACTAGCTTTCATGTTCGATGGATCATTTGTCATCTTCATTGTGAAGCCAAACACATCTTCCCCCTCCCCTCCTCTTTTAGCATTCCAAATAAACCATTCCCTTCTTGAGACAATGATCTACTTCTCAGCTATTTCTGTCTTTTTGTCCTCTTCCCACAGGACCTTTCCAAGATGCACCCGTCTTTGTACATCTTACCACCTCACAATCCAAGCTCCTTCCAAATTAAGCAGCACTTTTGTATATTTCTCTCAATCTAGTCTACCATTTTGCTGCTCAGAATGCAGTCACTTTTACACGGGGGTGGGGGGTGTGGCGGAGGGAACCAAACAAGATTGGGTGAATGCTTTGGGGAACACTTCTGTTCTGTCCATAAGCTTGACGTGGAGCTTCCAACAACCTGTCATTTTCATTCAAAACCTCTCACGATGACATTTAGGTCTACAGCCTATTGCCAAGTTCTAGTGTGGCTTAACGCAAGGTTCACATACCTTGCCTTTCAAATTGTCACTTTAAACCCTTCTGGAATCATAGAACATGGAATTCAACAATTTTAGACCAAAAAACCTACCTCGATTGCGTTTCCTTATTTTTATTTGCTTCATTTTTTCCCCCACACTTTCAGACAGCAAAACACCTGCTCCAGGAACATGAGATAACAAGGTTATAGAGCTGGATGAACAAAGCAGGCCAAGCAGCATCAGAGGAGCAGGAAAGCTGACGTTTTGGGCCTAGA